GTGTGGAAGCAGGCTACTCGGCCCACTGAGTCCACAACAACCTTCCAAACAGCATCCCACCCAGACCCACCCCCTTACCCTACCCTACCCCTGTAACCTTGCATTCCCCATGGCTAATCCACCTAACCTACTCTTCCTTGGACACTATGGAAAATTTAGCATGGCCAAGCCACCTAACCTGCACATCTTTGGATTGTGGGAGGAAACTGGAACACCCAGAGGAAAACCATGCAGACACAGGGAGAATGTCTGTCTGGAATTTGCAGTCGCACGAGGCTGGAATCAAACCCAGGTCCCTGGTGCTGTGAGGCAGCAGTGCTAACCACAGAGCGCCATGCCTAATTAAGATTAATTACTCAAATTACTCAAGGATTTGAATGTAATAATCCACTCATTAATTGGCAAAAAGCCTATTTAGAAATGGGTTATCATCAGGAACCTTTTTGACTATGCTTTACATTAAAACATATAATCTACTTTTTTAGAACGTTTGTTATTTACAGAATCTTACACTTGAACTATCATCTAGTAGGTTGCTTTGATTGAAAAAGAACTTTTTTAAAAAAGGCGTAAGCAAGTTTAATATTAGTGAAGATCAGCAGTAAAAGTCGGATACAACTGGTTAAATCTGCCATTACAAAGTAGAATAGATTTTTAATGAAAATTCATTTCACTTGTTTTATTTTTAAAATACCCCTGCCCAATTCCCTAAATATGAACAGTATGCTTTGAAAAATGACTAATTAAGGAAAATTGCAAAAGAACAAAATCATCATGTTGGAGAACTTTACTATTAAACCAGTTTCTTGGTAATCTTTTCTTCCTGACATACGGATCGCATTACAAGTAATGTTTGGCCACTTGCAGCAAAATTTCAGCCCCTCCCCTACCACACCAAAGTAGTTTATAACAAATAATCATGTAACCTTTGGAAATGCTTTTCCACAAAATATTTACAGATTAGAGCAATACAACTCAGATTATAAAAAGGTAGCAAAATTACTGTGAGATTAGGACAATAATCTTTAGGAGATGAAAAGCTGTAGATAGTCTGACATCGTCCTGTTATTGCAAACAAAAAGTGCAATACTAAGCACATCAGCAATTTATTTTAAAAACTTAGATTGGATTTGATATTCTTTTTTGTTCATGCGTTAGCTGATTTTGGACATGCTTCCTCTTTTTTAGTATCTCACCTTGGCTTGAGAGTTTGAGAGTCTGAAATTTGAATATGGATTTCCTAACCACAGAAAAATCTCTCTTATGGAACAGGTGCCAGTCTTTCTATTCCTGTGATGCTTGTTGCTGCACTTGCACGAAAATGGACAAATTGATGTCTAAACCAACTTAAATTTGGAAACTAAAAATCTAATCACATTCAGAACCCTCAACTCGCAGAAAATCAGCACTGTTTGACATAATCAATTGATAAGGAGATAGAAGTAAATAAATACATGATTTTACAGTCCCCTCATTTTGAAAAAATATAATAATGAAAATTTATTGGTAGGAATGAGAATTTGCATCTTCAGATTTGAAGGGTTAAAGCCAAATTTCAAATTTTAGAATGATTCAAAAACTTGAGTTTTGCAAATTCAGGGCAAGTTCCAAATGGTGATGACTCTCAATTAGTAAAACTCTCAATTAGTTAACAATGCCACAGAATCTACTAAAAAAAACCCCTTCAATATAAACAAAGTTTCACCAAATCTGCCAACAAATCCTTCACTAAATTTGCAGGGCTGTCAGCTTTCAGCTTGATATACTAGAAAACAAATGTAACTGTGGTCTATTGGGGACAGCAGCAACAGTTCCGGGTGTTCCAGCCAAACAAAGCTACTGTTGAACCGTTTTTTCCTGTTGTTGACCCTATTTTTGTCTCTAGACTAAAAAACAAATTTTTGAAAATTGAATAATTACAATACCAACACTGCTGAGAGTACAGGGTTTTTTTTTTAAAAAAAGGGATCAGTGCATTGGCCTCCCAAAATCAACAGTTGCAACTCCAAATCCCACTTTGACCTACGAACACATCTGTCATTATTTGGGTAAGTTCTGTCACCTCCAGCTGAAGCTGCTAGTTGAGACCCTTGAATTATGTTCAAGTATATAGCAAGGTGGAGGAAGGGATGAATACTTCTACCTCACGTCACTGGGATAGCACTGATGGCACCCGTGAAGTAGCCGAAGAATTTCAGACCTCTCAATTGAGGTTAAAAGTATCAGCATGTGCCAGAAGGAAGTAGGGAGAGAAAATAAACAACTGTATTAAAATAGCTCTGCATGATGTCCATATTTACACTCCACATTATATTATGCTAAACCTAATAGGTAACTTCCATCGATAAATCTATACCATTTTGTTCCTGATTAAAAATTCCTTGGGCTAGAGTGAATGCTAATTGGGGGAAAAAAAAGTGATCGGGAGAATATTTAAACCAAATTTAGAATTAAAGAGCTTGCACATGTGGATTTCTTACGAGCTGTTTGAGACTTGTGCTTTGTGGTGGGCAGATAGGAAGTTGCTTTTAGAAGAATGAATATACTGCCCTCATTAATTTTGGAATTAAGATTTCTATACCACACCATCCTATCCCCAGTCACCTGAAAAAAAATATATCAATTTAACATTGCCACTGTTACTAGGATCAGTTCTTGTATTCATGGGCAAACAATTTGGACTTTTCTTGCCCCTTTGAGAGCAACTCCTTGTGTGTAATCACTTTGGTCTTTTCAACTTATTTTTTGAATTGGGAGTGATGCTACAGTTGTTAACAGTGCATTTTTGTGGTATCATTAAGGCAATATATTTGAATGAATATACTTTGAAAAGTGGCAGTGTTGTTCTAATGAAAATTTACATTAATTCTGATTAAATTTGATGAAGTCATAACACATCAAACCGAGGTATACTTAAAATGACAAGTGAAATAAAACTTTTCATTCTTAAAAGTCAAGTACTCAACATGTGATTAAGGGTTCAGGATACCTCCTTACCTCGAAATTTGCACTGAATTGACAATGCTATCCCCATTTAAGCATGTCATTCATTTGAATTTCCTTAAATTGCTCAGTGTTTAAATTTCCTTTTTCAGTGTTTGTAGATTGCTTTGGAAAGGAATGTATTTTGTTCAAAAACACCATCACTAGAGGTATTTCAATATGGCACAGTTATTGAAAATCTGCTGTTTTGACTCTTCAAAACAGCATATCCATTAAATTTTTTAAAAAATCAGTCATATTGGGACCGGCTACAACTTAAGCTGTTCAAATACCCCATTACGATTAATTAGTTTTTTCATCTTCTTTAGTAAGATGTCAAAAGGAGCGAGAAGTCTATAAGAAATATTAAACAGACTATGCAGATTTGCTAAAATTATCACAAGCTATGGATGAAAGGTGGTTAATGAGATGCTGTTATAGAACTTCCGCATCCAACACAGCACTTGGAAAAGAACTTGGCAGCTAAATTGATTGTGTTGCCCATAGTCAATGTGGAACATTATTAAATTCAAACCCAATTCATATTTATAGTATGGGATTATTGAGTCTTATTTTACTATTTATTGCCTGCTTTAAGAAAAATACTAGCTCACAGATATATGCTTAATCCATTATTGCTAAAGGTGACCAAATTTGATTTCTTTCTACAAGTTACAGAAGCAGAATACCAACTCTTCATAAGCGCCACACAAATAAGTGTGCACTAGGCTTTACAATTTATCTTACTTTGTGGATTGTTTTTAGTTGTTACTATAGGGAGTTAAATGTAAAATTTAAAACCTCCATGTTTGCCAGTGTTTGTAACTTGTAGACATAAGCAAAAAAAAAAGGGAAAAAAATAAATCCTACACATGATTTGTGGCATTTTAATCTTTTGTGCCAAGTGGACCAGTGAAGTGACTTATACTTGACCCACTTCAAGTGCCAACCTACAATTAAATTTAGAATGACCAAAATCTACAAGGGTTATAGCCAAAAGACAAAATTGAAAATAAACCCCATTTGCATAAAATTCTCAAAAATCAAGCCAATTTATTTCTATTCCTTGTTAGGTGCTACATTTCCCTCCTCTTCCCCACTCTATGCAATATCCCAGAGCCAAGGGCAACCTGCTGTGATCTGTGCATCTTACTTTGTAACCAGGTGCTGGAAGCTGGGGTAACCTCTCGTCAGATTTCTCTCTTCTTCACGAAAGTACAATCAAGACTCAGTCTCTGGTTGCTACAATTCACGATGGAATCCACATGTGGCACCACCATGTTGCCAAACATCTTTTAGCAGCTCCAGTTTACAATATTGTCATTTATTTCTGGCTCCTTGATTTGTATCTATTGATATCTATTCTCTAGTCTTGCGATGTAGGGAAACAAATCTGGTGAGTATAAATCTTACTAAGTCCAAATCCAAAGCATGGAGATGCTTAGAAGGCTGCATAAATAAATATAACTGAGGCTAGAAATGAAAGCATGATGCTGGTACAGCAGAGTCTGTATTTTGAGACTGGGAATGGAGATACATTGTTGATGTGGAATAGAGGGGTCATTCCCCTGCATCCAGCCTATTTGCTATCCTAGTGTAAAAGGATCAAGGTACAGTACTATGAGGTGTGGGACACTTCATTACCATGACTCTTCCCTGCAGGAATGTAGCTGCCTCCACTGACTTAAAACTGGAAGCAATACATTAGACTGAGTGTATGCAACGCCACTTATTTTTAAAAAATTTTTCTGTTGAGGCAATTTTATTTTCTTCAAGCAAGTGAATGGCAGAAAACGTCACCCAATAGCACACTTAGCTATTTTACACAGAAGA